AGAGAGAGAGAGAGAGAGAGAGAGACAGAGAGACAGAGACAGAGACAGAGACAGAGACAGACAGACAGACAGACAGACAGACATAGTGAGAGGGGTGGACAGAGAGACAAAGACAGAGAGAGAATGAGAAAGATAGAGACAGACGGAGAGAGAAGAGAACGGAGAATAGGCAGGAGAGACGGAGAGTTCACACGTAGAAATAAATGGAATACTTGGATAAAGGCCCCAGGTTCTATAAATCTTTGTAAAGTATCCTCTCAAAAGCCATTTCCTCGGTCATTTCCCTTGGGGTGTGATTGGAGAACTCTCCGACCTATGTGTAAGCCCAGTGCGTCCATAGTGCTCACGCTCAAAACCCATCCCTATCGTGTGAAATCTCTGGTCTTGAGCTTTCATCTGAGACGATGGATCCAAGGTATTTGAAGCTGTTGACAGTGTCCGCGTTGATGCCATTGGTATTATTGGTCCTTAGCTTGGTTTTCTCGGCGTTGATCTCCATGCCGTAGACCGCTGAGGTTGTGTCCAGCCGCTCCACTAGTTTGGGGAGCTCCTGTTCTTCTCCTGCTAATCCATCGATGTCATCGGCGCAACACAAGTTTGTAATTGTCCTGCCTCCAATACCAATTGTTCCATTGTGATCTTCCAGTGTGTCTGTCATGATTCGTTCTAGGAAGAAGTTGAAGAGAGTGGGAGAGATCAAACAACAGCCTTGCCTCACCCTGACCGTTGTCCTGAACCAGTCCCCCATGCTGCCAATTAAAGTATACTGCACTGGAGGCCTTGTCGTATAGTTGTTGTATGACGCTGATCAGGTTGGTGTTGATGTTATATTTCCTCATGGTTGCCCATAAGGCTGCATGCCAGACCCTGTCGAAGGCCTTTTTAAAATCCTCGAAGATATGGTAGAAGTTTTGTTGGTGTTAGAGGTACCTCTCGCACAGTATCCTGAGGTTGAAGATCTGTTCTGTTGTGCTGCACCCTGCTCTAAAGCCTGCCTGCTCTTCGGTAAAGATCTTCTCTGCCCGTGGTTTCAGTCTGTTCAGCATTATCTTCAACATAACCTTACTGGGGTGGCTTATTAGACTGATGGTGCGGTAATTTTGACATAGTTGCAGGTTACCTTTATTGGGGGAGTGTAATCACTAGATCTAGTGATTGTGTCCATTGTGTCGGCCACTTTCCTGTCTGCCAGACTTTGTTGCAGATGACAGTCAGAGCGCTTATCATGTCCTTTCCCCCTGCCTGTATTAATTCTCCTGGGATGTTATCCACTCTAGCTGATTTCCCCTTCTTCAGTGCTTTAACTGCTGCTTCAACTTCTTCTCGTAGGATTCGGTGGTTATCGATGTTGGTTGCTGGGGGAACGTTTAGTACCTCAGAGTTTCCTGTGGCTTTGTAGTTGTACAATTCTGAGCAGTATTTGGTCCATCTTTTCAAAGTGTCTTGTTCTTCTCTCAGGCCCACCCCACCCCTCCTCTTAAATAACCTAATATTATTGATAGAGGCGTTAAACCTTTGCCATTTCATATATTCACAGTAATGGCCTTCAGAAACCGGGTCAACGACTTCTCCTATAAGGAGTCACATAAGGTCAAATGTTAGACGGGAGAGCTGCTAGAATGTTAAAAATATTAGTCTCCATTATGAAACGATTCGACAGGCAACTCTCTCTCTCTCTCTCTCTCTCTCTCTCTCTCTCTCTCTCTCTCTCTCTCTCTCTCTCTCTCTCTCTCTCTCTCTCTTTCTTTCTCTCTCTCGCTCTCTCCTCTCTCTCCCCTCCCTCAACCCCCCTCTCTCTCCCCCCCCCCCTTCTCTCTCCACCTAACCCCCCCACCCATGATTAATGCAATATAATGTAACTCTAATCATAATGCGCACAGCCCCCTGCATGCTCTGTAAATGTGTAATATAGATAGATATAGTTGCCGTAATGTGCACATAAAATCCAATACAATAGGCCTATATATATATATATGTACTTATACCGTATTAGTTACCCTGCTAAAATGACTACATTTATCGTCTGTAGGTACTAAAAATAAATAGCCTTGCCTACAACAGCAATCGATAAAAAAAAAGTTTGATAATCTGGACTAAGAAATTCGGACTGCTCGAGCTATGGTGCGTAAAAAAAGCCTACCAAATCCTAAAGATAACAACGTGTAATTGAATCTAGATCCTCTGCGTGTATTTTGCAACACTGTATTTAACGAAGATAATACTCTAGTGGAAGGAATTGCTCAATAAAATTGACGTCACAATGTCCTGCTGAACTTATAGCCTGATCTGTGACGTCGGATGTTGACTGCTGGCGTTGCTAACACAAACCATCAAGCGTACAGCAGTTTCTGGCAGTAAAATATAAAAAATCGAAGGGATAGTATAATTTCCATCTTAGCATAAATCCAATACTAACACTATAAATACATTTTAGAAAGTTGAAATTATACTTTCAGGATCAGTAAAAAATAAATAAATATGTGTTTGAGGCATATTTATTGTTTCTATATCCAAACACGAAGGAAGTATTTACTTTTCACCAAAAATTGTCTCTCCTTTCGGTTAAGTCCTGCCAGAGGCCTTGACGACCAATAAAATGCCGACCTAAACAATGGATTCGACACGCCTGGGTAAATTTAGGCCCAGTTTGGCAGTTGTCACTGGCCTCTTGCAGCCCTGTACGGACCCAGGAATATATTTCGAAGTGAAACATCTGTAAATTCAGTTTGCAAACCCATCGAACAAATTACACTGCAACCATGCCAGAGGAAAATGTTAAAGTGGCCGTTCGGGTCCGTCCATTCATATCCTTTTTTCGCTATTTATGTTTGTTGGGGTAAATTTGTGCAAATTTCGGAATCTGTGTCAGTTGTTAGACCCATGCCCATGATTAGTTCAGTGTTGTGCCATTATTATTTAGTGTATAGTAGTGTTAGTTATAAAACATTGCTTGATACTTAAATGATTTGTGCATCTTTTTCCATCTCTGAATACATTTCTTTGGTTTTAAATCTGGGTAGCCTAGACTAGATCTAGCTAATATTTTTTTCGAAAGCACACCGGTAGTCCTAACATCACAAACAAGATCTCTATTATTAGGCCTATTATTATTATTATTGTTAGATCTACCATGCTAATGCAACTGATAGCAAGTAAAATTACATCTTCATTCTTCAGTGAAAGTGCGTGAGTACGTGTGAGTGTCTACACCAGGTTGGTTTCTGTGAACTGCCCGTCCGATCTATGGCTAGTGGTGCTGGTGAGCCAATGCAGCCGTTGGGAGGTCAATATTAGCCTACGATTTGTGCGATTTTGTCAGAGCCTTGTAAATACTTGTGCGTCAGTTTCTCTAGTTTGGTGCAGGTGTAGCTTTCAGATATAGAAGTCTATATGCACGCTGCTTAATTAAAGACCTTTTAATTGTAATTAATGAGGTAATATTATCATTGGTGTGTGTTTTGTTTTGAGAATAGGTGGAAACTTAATTCGCTAAAATTTAATACAACTTACAATCATGTTTCATACTGTAGGAATATCATTTTGCTATTAGATTTTATTTTGCTATTTTTCTCTTGGTATTTGACAACATTTAAAAGCCTAGTTACTGTTTTTTTACTTGCATTCTATATTTATCATTGTGCATGCAAAAAGTATACAGTTCTTCAGAGTTTTTTCAAACTCATCCGTATTTAATGTTTTTGCAGTTGCAGTTTTACGAAACACTGTTATTATAGTCAGGGGTGGCTCTAGGGGCTCAAAAGTAGACGTGCACAATTAAGCTATCGCACGTTGAAGGTAGTCAAGGGCATAATAAATGAGACGTTGTATAGTTTTAGGATCTCTGGGTTGGTAAGGGAGGACCTCGCGCTTTTATTTTCTCTCTTTTTACTTGTCGCTTTGATTTCTAGTACTAAATTTGTTTGTTAGCTAAACATCAATTTAGTTCATCTTCTATTGGAACTGAACACTCAAGTATAATAACTTTCACCCCTCCACTACAAAACCACTCAAAGGCACTACAACTCGTAGAACGGTCATGTTCACCTCTCTCAGGTTAACGGTCACAGAGTTACTTTAAATAGTGGCAAGACCGACAATGAACCAATCACAATTCACTTGAGCACTCCGCTGGATTGCTCCGGGGCTCACATAATGTTGGCAAAGATTAGCGTTCGGTCTAGAACTATCGCATTTATTTTTAGACTGCGCACTGTAGGCTATGTTTCGGCACTATTCGGCAGGAGCACCTTTGAGATGTGCTGTCTTATTAATATTATTGTACCACCAAACTGGCTACGAGTGTCGTCATCGCTTGGGTTATCCCCAAGAGTGATTTATAGGTCTCGTTACACTGTCGAATATCCTATTCTGTTTAGCTAAAGCGCATGGACTTTGGCATGGCATAGTAGATATTTTACGGCGCTATAGACACAGAAATGACAGTTATGACGCCAGGGAGGACCTTGTTTTGATACAATATTTGGCTAGTGTTTGTTTCTGGCTTCCTTTATTATTGTGGGTGTTTTACGTAATAGAATACTTCAAAAAATTGGGTGGCACTGCACGACCGCACTCAATGGACGGACCGCGCCTAATTATAGTTTATTTTTCCCAGTTAAAAGATGCCAATAGTTGTCAAAGGACACGTTATGACTTAAAGTGACACACTGTAGGCTAACTTCAAATGCCATGAGCAGATAGGTGACCTCAAGTATAAAGGTGAAATGTTCAAATATGAATTTGCCAAATTTAAATGTAACAAAATCACAACGCAAATGGCACATGACGTCAATGTTCTTATAGATGTTTTTGCCCTGCGGTTTGTTTACCTTAACTGACCACACAATAAAAGAGAGAGGGCGAGAAATGCCACTCTCATTATTGATATGAACGGACCCACCACAATCATCACAGATCCGGAAAGCAAAGAGGAAAAGAAGTTTGCCTTCGACTTCAGCTACTGGTCACACGATGGGTCCAAAGAAAACGCCGATGGATACTACGGTGCCGACACATCACATCCCAATGGCAAAAAGTTTGCTGATCAAGTAAGTGAAAAAATGTTGTGATGTGTTAACTCTTTAAACATGCTATTTAGAATCACATTTCTGCTTAATTCTCTCGTGTTTGTGGAAATGCGACCCGACACATTACGTTTTTAAAACCGTTTGTTTTGTGTCAAACTGATCAGTAAATCATAACTAAAATGTAGAATTAATTTGTCTTTGACTTCTGGGTCAAACTAAAGGCTTGTTAACTCGTACTTTTTAAAATTCAGCCCATACCATAGTACAATAATAACTTCGCACCGGATGGTGGTACCGTCCAGCCATGGTTACAAACCTCGACTACCAGATGCTGCCACAGTCCAGACATGGTTACAGAGTTAACTGTTTGAGGACTGGCATTCTGTGACAGTATGTTTGAACCCGTGCTGTTTTAGGACACTTTAAGAAAGAAGAATAACTTTTTAAAATTCTGTCGCACGTTTTCTTTGTATCAGAAATTTAAAAAGGCTGGCAACCATGCATTCAATTGAATTTGCTTTTCTTATTACGATAATGATGGTTTGGAATTATCAGCAACATTTTCTTCAGTTTGCTGTTGATTAGACAAATTATTGTTTACTGCGACTTTAAAGAGTCAATTATTACATGAGTTAAGATGGTTACAATTGATTTAAGAGAGTTTCTCTTTTATTTTGTTTGAAATTTCTTATTGAATTTTTGTCATGCACAGATATAACAGTGCCTTTCTTTTGGCCACGTTTTGACCTTGTGCTGATAAATTGTGGCTCAAAAGGAATTGATGTTTGAAGTGGAATAATTCACTTGTAAGGCAAAACACCATGTCATCACAAGACACCAAGACACTAGGATGGAAATAATGATGAATAATAAATAAATATATAGCACATATCCCTGTACGACAGCAAGCTCTATATGCACTTTACACTATATTATTACCCCAGCAGACCGTAGAACACTCAGAAACATTTTCAACCTCCCGAAAAGCATACAGTGCAAACAGCTGATTAAGCACTCAGACACAAACAATATATGACAAGATCTTTCACTGTCTATAGCTGGGTACCCATATGGGTGAAATGAGGAAAATTCATGTGTCTTTCCCAAAGACTAATGTCGGGCCCCTGACAAGATCCGAACCCACGACCTTACGGTTGCGAGTCGGAGAGCCTAACCACTAGGTCTTTAACGCCGACGATAATTTCAAATACAGAAGAGTCTGCTTAAACCGAACACAATTAATTTCTTTTCAGTTTTCACTTTGTCACTTTCTGTGTAATACTCCATATTATTATTTTTTTTCCAGAAAAAAGTCTATCAAGATTTGGGTGAAGGAGTCTTGAAGAATGCTTGGGAAGGGTTCAATTCTACTCTTTTTGCCTACGGCCAGACAGGCTCAGGGAAAAGTTGGTCCATCGTAGGGTATGGAGTTAACAAAGGTGAGGCTTGCTCATCATGGGTGTCACAACATGGTGGAATCAGGTGCTCATCACTTTTTGGGAATATGGAGATGTTGATATCATTTTGAAGCTGGTTCATTTGTCATGCTTTTAATGAAAAATTCAATCTTGAATAGAAGTAGAGTTATTATTTGTTGCGATTGAAGGAGTTTGTGGGGGTCGTTTTGTGCCACAAGAAAAATTAGCAAGGAAATTAGCTTCCAAAGCTTGAGCGTCCCTGATATATATCTGCATGTTTACTTTTTTTCTGTGCCTTTGATCAACGTTTTTAAGTAACATCCACCCAGAAATGTATATATGAAGTAGATAAAAGGTGTTCTCCCCCTCCTCCCCCCCCCTAAAAAAAATATTTAAAAAAAAATAAAAAATCACTCATAAAAATTTCCCAACGGTTGAAGAAATACTGGAACTTTCGGTTTCAGTATTTTGAAGAGCGCCTGATTTCATCATGATGTCACACATATGTCATGTGTTTTAGTTGTACCTGAAAATATCTTTCTTTTTTGGGGAAGTACATGATTTTCATAAAATTTATGAACTTTTAATATTAGTTCATGAAAATAACTCCGCAAAATAGAACAATTTTTGAAAATAATGAAGGATTAAAAAAAAAAAGAAAAAAGAACGATGAACAAGATGCTTGTACAAAGCCGAGTTTGACTCTTAATTGGACAGTTTAAACCTTTCTGACCTAATCTTTCATACTCAGCTATTTTCTAAATTTTGTCTCGTACATGCTTTTTATTATTTCTGGGGTTCTGAATTCTCAGCTGTATTGTGTGTTCATGATCTTTTATGTCCTACCTACAAATCCATTTTAAAAATTATTTTCAAACTTTAAACCTGTGTCTGTAGTGTAGTGGTCAGACGCTTTGATGTTGTATGCAGGAGACCAGAGTTTGATCCTAAAGTGGGGAGAAATTTAAATGGAGAGTTGGTCTTTCTGCCGAGATGTCGTATCCCTCTCAGCCCAGGTATTGCCCCTGACAGGCAGGGCTGGGAAGCCCGTCTCATAAATAATCTAAATTGTTTTTAGTTTTAGTAAGGTTTTACGGCACTTGCAACTGCATTACGTTATATGAGCGCCAAGGGGTGGATGTCAACAGAAGTCAAAAAGCCGAATCAGGTTTACTCTGCTCACCTCTCTGGCTTCAACAGCACAGTCTGCTTCGACTATCAAGGCTTCCCGGAAATAACAGTTCACAAGCGAGTGACAAACATACACAAGAAGTAGAGGAAAAAGGACTTAATATCATAATTTTTCCGCTAAATTGTGTGAATTGGGACGTAAAAAATACCTCCATTTAGAAAAAAAACCACAACTAATTTGTGAAGCACACTGACAAAATGAGTGACTTCTCTGATTCAAGCCCGAAAGAAATAGATACATCACGCTTATAGGTGAAGTTTTTACAATGTATAAGTATGAAATAATAAAAGACAGGCTGTACGTAAAGAATATGACATCAATAGGAAAATCTACAAATTTGACCCTTGTGTCGATTTTTGGCCAATATCTCCTTTTGTGGAATGTGAGAAGTAAGTTATTTTGTGTGCATGCCCCAAATTTGATGAAGGATGGGCTCAGTGATCTCATGATGTGGGATGTTTCTAAGAGATGTGTCTGGTCTACAGGAAAAAGTGTGTGAAATTCCTCTCCAAGGATGGAGTTGAGCTGTTGTGTATGATGAAATACTCTTTTTTCTCCTTTTGTCCTGAAAAAAGACAGGACTTCATGGGGGGAAAAAATAAATATAGGGATCAATCCAGATAATAGGATTTGTACTGGTAATCTGCTTCGCAGTTATAGATTTCACCCTGAAAACGTTTTTGTTTTGTTCTTGTTTTTTGTGTTTTTTTGTGGGGGGGGGGGTTGTTAAAAATTATTTTTTTCTGTAGAACTGTTCTTTGAAACTTGAAGCTTTAAAGGCCATAGTGAAAATGAGCCTGCTAAATATTATTCTGTTTTTTGTTTTAATACAGGTATTTTTACACCCTCATTGACACAATTTCGATCATTTAGGAGGTGGGCTTCCAACCCTGCCTGTCAGGGCCAACCCTGGCTGAGTGTGAGAGGGATGCAGCAGAAAGACAGAAATACTCTATAAATATTTATTTCAACTCGGAAATTGAACTCAGGTCTACTGCGTGCGACAGTGAATCACCGAACTGCTACATCAAAGTTGTGGTTGGCCTATGATCATTTACTTAACCTTCTCAGCACCACAAATTTGTCTGAAGGTCAGCACAGCAGAACTAAAATGGCGGCCAGCTGATGGCTTCCTAGAACCGAATTATTTCAGCATTTTTCGAGGTTCAGGGGGTGTGGTTAAAAATTTGTTCTGCTTTTTTTATCTAAGCTAAGTATTTCAATGAAATTTCCCATACAAAGACATAGAACTTCAGCATCTGAATTTCTAATCTAATGTTCTTATCTAAGCCTGCTCTAAAGGCGGGTTTGTCAGGCCGGTAAAAGCCGGTATGGCTTCACTGTGGGAAAACCTGTAAAAGCCGTTTGTTTTGTTTGTTTTAGTAGAGTTTTTATGGTGCTCACAACTGCATAAGGTGACAAGGTCATATGAGCTCCAGTAAAAGCCGGTATGGCGCTACAGCGGGAAAGCCGGCAAAAGCCGGTATGGCAACTAGACCGGATTGCCGGCCTTGGCCAGTATGGCTCAAAAAGGGATAACTGTGGTGTCTTCTACGTTTCCCCTCAGGTGTTGTGCCCCAGTTCTGTGAGAACATCTTCAAAGGCATTGATGGGAAAAAAGCGGAAGGGGACAAGACGGAGTACGAGGTATGGAGATTTTCTTTGCTTTTTTATAGACTGCTCCTTCAGCGCATAGCCTAGGTAGGTCTGTGCGCTCATGCAAAGAGTTCCCCACGTTGTATCGATATGATAATAAAACACGATGTACGGATAGGGTTAGGATGTTGTTTGATGTCGGTATTCAATTATCGTCTTTATTTTGAAATTCCTTGAAAATGATTTAGGGTGATGGTTAAATAACGCTGATGATTTATCACTGAACTGGGTTAAGCTATGGGAGTGTAATCAAATTGTTTTATTGTGTTATGTCTGCGTCCAAAGACATTGCTGTCTCTGTTGCGGGTGGTTGCTGGGTGTTCTGTTGTGGTTTGCTCCTTCTTTCCAATCAAACTTCTATCGTCCTTATTTCTTACTCTCTAGTAACACCTGTAATCTTTGGAACTTATCTCTATCTCTCTCTCTCTCTCTCTTGCCTTTTTTAACTCCCAGTGGAGCATAGGCCATCAACAACATTTCTCCAGCAGCCTGTCCCGTGTGACCCTTTTTTGGAACTTATAGGACCTAATAATTGGGTAGTAAGTTCTGTAAAACTCTCACTACTACACTCTCACTACAACTAATGAAACCAAACAACTTTTTTTCTCCTTTTCCTCAGGTGACTTTCAGCATGTTGGAGATCTACAACGAGCAGGTGCGAGACTTGCTGGACCCCCATGGAGGCAACAAGAAGGGAGGTCTCCGAGTCCGACAGCACCCCAAGAATGGATTTTACGGTGAGTCAGTAATAATAATGATAATAATAATAATG